GCTATTGTTTGGATGTGAAATAACAATGACACCCCATGGCTTAACCCAAAACTAACCAAGCTTTTCAAGACTAGAAAAGCCCTTGAGGCCAATCAGTTCTGCCATCAAAGACAGATAAGGCGCGCTGCCTGAAGGCCTCTCAGTTACGTGCTTCTCTGCACACAGCTCGCTAGGTTTCTCTGAGGACATGGCAAATATTTTACTACGATACAAGCCGGAGGACTTTTTGAAGGGTAGTTCAAAGTTTTAGGGTAGCTTTTAATGAAGGACGCTACCAAGCTTCCTGACACAGCAGCATGTTACATTTGGTTGGAACATTTGTCAGTGAAATTTCGTCTGAGATGACGAGAGAGAAGAAAGAGAAGCAAAAACCAAAATCATTACAATTTCTTGTTTATATATTAAATACCATATTTTAAAAAAAATGTATGTATGGATGGTGAGAAAATTCATACTAACCAAACTTCACTGCTCAGATTACAGCTTTGTTTCAACTTTAATTCTAACTGGTTACAGTATGCTGTGCAGAGATGATACTAAAGTGATAGAACATGAGACAGAGTGTTCTATGGCAGTGGATAGATAGATAGATAGATAGATAGATAGATAGATAGATAGATAGATATCTACTTTATTAATCCCAGAGGGAAGGTCGTCTGTTACAGTAGCAGTACAGTAGTTCAGTAAAGATCAAAACAAGAGATGCATATCAAAACATACAGATGCATATATAGAAGAAAAAGTAAAGATATATAATATAATCTACAAAACATGAATAAAATATAGTGTGCAGTGCAAAAATAAGTAAGTAAAAATGCATAAATATTATGTAGGTGACAATGCAGTGGTGCATGTCACGTACAGTGAATGAACCGAGTGACTGAACACTGTAAATGATAACATATGTTAATAGTTGTATATGTATAGATGTATAAACAAAGTGGCAGTGCAGTGTGGAATATTTATGGATGTATAAACAAAATGGCAGTGCAGTATGGAATATGTGTAGATGTATAAACAAAGTGGCAGTGCAGTATGGAATATTTATGGATGTATAAACAAAATGGCGGTGCAGTATGGAATATTTATGGATGTATAAACAAAGTGGCGGTGCAGTATGGAATATTTATGGATGTATAAACAAAGTGGCGGTGCAGTATGGAATATTTATGGATGTATAAACAAAATGGCAGTGCAGTATGGAATATTTATGGATGTATAAACAAAGTGGCAGTGCAGTATGGAATATGTGTAGATGTATAAACAAAGTGGCAGTGCAGTATGGAATATGTATAGATGTATAAACAAAGTGGCAGTGCAGTATGGAATATGTGTAGATGTATAAACAAAATGGCAGTGCAGTATGTAATATTTATGGATGTATAAACAAAATGGCAGTGCAGTATGTAATATTTATGGATGTATAAACAAAGTGGCAGTGCAATATGTAATATTTATGGCTGTATAAACAAAGTGGCAGTGCAGTATGGAATATTTATGGCTGTATAAACAAAGTGGCAGTGCAGTATGGAATATTTATGGATGTATAAACAAAGTGGCAGTGCAGTATGGAATATTTATGGATGTATAAACAAAGTGGCAGTGCAGTATGGAATATTTATGGATGTATAAACAAAGTGGCAGTGCAGTATGGAATATTTATGGATGTATAAACAAAGTGGCAGTGCAATATGTAATATTTATGGATGTATAAACAAAGTGGCAGTGCATAGTAAAAAGTAGAGAGATGTAATGTCCAGTTGGTGCTTAGTGAGCCTGTCCTGGATATAGCTGGGTCTCATCTGCCCCTTCTTATAGGAATCAGGAGGCAGTGGCAGCAATTCCTCATGTCTGCAGACGTGGTGCCACACTGTCTGCAGAGTGGCATGTTTCTGCAGTGCTGTGTTTTAGTGAATAAGACCAGTCTTGCAGTGTTTTGTGTATGCTTTTAGTGGCATGAAGCTCACGACAAGAGGCTGAAACAGACAGTCCGAATACAGGACCACATTAACTCAAACTTGGCTAAGCTCTATTATTTGGCTTAATAAGCTAAGAATAGCTCAGTTAGTTTTCACTGAAGTCCCTGTAGTTACTAAATAATAAGCCTTAGTATGTAATAAGCCTGGGGTTTTAAGGGGTTAAACTGTCATTTTTTCACTACATAAATATCACACACACACACACACACACACACACACATACATATGTGTATATATATATATATATATATATATATATTATATATATATATATATATATATATATATATATTTAGAGCGCTGCTGTCAGAACAAAACCTTGTATCTCCAGAAAGGTAAATTTACAGGACAATGAAAAACATTCTCAATTTTAAATGGAAGTAAATGGAGAGTTACTTTTTCCCAAGTCATTTTGGTCCATTTCTGTTGGTCTCTACATTATTACATTTTGACACCTCATAATGGACAACTGCCTTTTTCAAAATATGCCAAAAACTGAAAAAATGACAAAAATGGAGATATGAGATCAGCAACTTTATATATTGTTATCATGATGAATTACATTATAGCATGTCACAATATGCTTATCTGAGCATATCGAGGAAATAATCTGTACCTAAAAAACACTGCCCAAACACAATATATGAAATTCTGAAAATATCATTTTTGATTGTTTTTTTTAAAATATGGTACAACTTTGTCTGTTCCAACTTATCAGATGACACAAAACAATTATTGTGACAAATTGTGTATCATGAAAATGAATCATGATATTGCATTTTTGCAATATCGCCTAGCTTTGTTACACACTCTTTTAAGTAAAAGGTCATTTATAAATACTATTTGCTATAAATTCTATAAACATTTTGTATTTTTTTTAAGTCATATTATAACCCCTCCCCATAACCCTCCCCCCCAACTCTAACCCCCCACAAACTGGTTTGGCCACACCACCGTCTATTGCTTTCATACAACAGAAGTAGAGAAAAAAAGTAAAGCCAAGAAGCCACAAACATTATTTCAAATGAATGTTTTTATTATTGGCAGTTTCTTCTGACAAAAAAAAGTAGTTCCAGCAGCTTTGAGTAAAGCGATCATTGTTGTTACTTAGCAACTGGTGGTCAGCAGAGTGATACAGGCCCAATAAAACAACTGTACTAGCCTCAGATATAACAACACAGGTAGAACATTTTTCAACCAATCGGATTGTTTTGAATTTAGTATTGCATGAATGGAAACCAGCTCTAAGTTTTTGAATATGGCTCCTGATCCCAGGGGGCCGCAGTACCGCACAGTGTAGCGCTCCCTCCACACCACCACACCTCCTGCACATCACGCTGGGCTTCTTTAATGTCTGATGAGTTGAGCTCTACCTCCATACCTGCACTAATACATTCATTTGTTTGAGTATCACGATAACTGAAAAAACATGCAGCACAAAATAGTACCTGATCAGCTAAGCTATCTGCAGGACGTCCATAGCCAACATCATCTCAAGCACTTCATTCTTTTTTCCAGGAAAAATTTCCAGACAGCATTTATTACATTGTAAATCATCATATGCATGCAAAGGCGTGCTGAAATGTTTCCAGTTCACCGAAGAATCCCTATAATAAAAAAGCAACACTGCACTTTTCCATAAAACTTTGGCCTCCAAATGACATATTTAAAGGGCAGTAACAAATTAAAACATTTAAACAATTAAAAAAAAACATAAACAATGAGAAACAATCAGTTTATCAACCCATAAGCAGTAGCATCCTAGGATATTTCTCCCAGCAGAAAATTTGTCCATTAAATTCCTAGAGATATCATTTAAAACATTTAAAAAATGACCCTTTCAAAAGATTGTCAACTGCTAAAATCACTTTATCAACACTAAAATGATGATTTGGTAACTTGACAACAAGGCACTTGGAATTTACCATGCCAAAATTTCAGTAGCACTTCATTTGGAGTACACAGTGACATCATAACACATGTATAAGCACTGAATAACATAGTTATAAACCAATAATAGAGTATTTACTAATAGCTTATGCCTGTAATTGCAAGATACTATCAAAATCTTTTTTTATGAATTTTAATAAGTGACATAAGGGGTTTAAATCTAAAGTGTTGTAATGATAACATTGTTATGAAGCAACTTACTAACATAAGACAGAAATATTGCTTCAAAAATACATAATCCAATGTTTATACATGTGTTATGAAGTCCCTATGTAGGTAGCTTTCAAATAAAGCGTTACTAAATTTTCAAACAACCACATTGTAAATTGTCTCATGCTTTAAAATTCATTAATAGACATGCTTTAGTGATGGTGTCTACAATATTGTGTGATAGTGTGAAAGCAAAGAGTCAGAAATAGTTTTACATTTGCATGTAGAGCCAGTATAAACAGCTGTTTTGCTCACTGCAGTGCAAGCAAAGGAAACAACACTAAGTAAGCATAACGAAGTGTCTTTAAAAGAGAACTAAGTAGTTGAAATCTGAAAGAATTGACAATAACATGACATCATACGGCAGTATATGTGTATGCAAATTAATATACAGGAATGCACAAATCTGAACCTACGCTGAAGCAGCTTCATGGCAACAAGAGATTTTCCCAAATCATGATTACAGGCTGCAGAAAGTTGGACGAGCTGCTTCACATTAGTGCATGTGAGTGTTATGAAGAGATAAAGGCAAGACTTCACTGTGGGGCAGTGTTTATAAGGCTACACAACACCTACATAAGCCCTTCATTGCAACCAATAGGCTTATTCCAATAAGCATCACTTGTTATTAAGTATGCATTTGGCAACTTTGACATGAAGTTGACATAACAGCAATGTCAGGAGTTTAATAATGGGCCATAAACCCTTTAAAGCCATGAATAAGCAGTGATAACACATAAAAAGGCAACGACCTGTTGACCTGTTGCTCGACAAATAGTGAGTCCAAATCCAGCTATACGGTAAAATTTCAGTCAGCATTAAACCCATCAGCTTCATCACACTGTTGCCCCTTTTGTTTATGTGTTGTCACTGCTTATTAATGACTTTTAAGGCGTTTATGACCTCATTAATAAACTAGTTTCAAACCAATGGTAAACCCTTTACAATGGTGGTCTTATTGTGAAGTGGTACCAGTTTATTTAGGCTGTCATGACCAGCGTATGTAGCCGAATGGACGCTGCCCTAGAGTGTACTGTAAAAAACGGCTCGTCAATTCAACCTAAACAATTACTTAATGTGGTAACAAGTAAACAAACTAGTTTTATTCAACCTACATGAAAATCCAATGAACGATTTTTTCAATCAGTGTCATTTTTTGAGTTGAATTAAACTACTTCAGTTGCTTGTTACTACATTAAGTAATTTCTAGGTTGATCTGATGAGCCATTGTTTACAGTACAGTGTTACCAATATAAATGACCCTTAAATAATCTGTAGGTGGGGTGTGGGTGGGATTCTGCACAATTGTGAGTGTGTTGTCCTCACACCAGGACCTTAGAGATGATGAGTGAGGTAATGGAGGCGGCGGCCAGTGTGAGAGTGTGCAGGGACAGGCCGGGGGCAGCGTTGCACAGTTCACCATAGCAACAGGTCTTGGTCATTTGGTAGATGGAGGAGTTGGAGCTGGGTGGGAAGTTCACATCACTTGTCTTGTTACAGTCAGCCTCTTTCAGGCAGCCCTTCATCTTCAGCTTAATGATGCCGGCTGAGGAAAAATACAGTCCCAGTAAGGCTTTACTGTGGGGCAGTGTTCACATACGTCCTTCATAAACTGCTGTCGGAACAAAACCTCGTATCTCCATTTTTCGGTTTCTGACATAGTTTGAAATTGCCTGTTACCCCTTTACATTGTGTGTAACAGTTCACGATCAATGATAAACAGAAAGAAATGGCCAAAATATACTTGTAAAAAAGTCTGGTTCCACTGACTTACATTAAAAGTAAAGTATGTTTTTTCCCCTCTTCTGTAAAGTTACCATGGAGATACCAGGTTTTGTTCCAACATTAGCAACATGCATTTATAAAGGCAGTGTTTATAAATTTCACTTATAAACACTGAGCTACAGTAAATTATTACCAAAATCTAATGTTTACAAGTTCTATTAATCCTAAAAAGGTTCTCATTTATGAACATGGTCCTTTAAGGCACCGTCTACTGAAAGGATCTCTAGGGGACCAAAAGTGGGCCAGCTATGGTGTCTCTCCAGTGAACCCTTTTTTGGGAATGTTTATTTTTAAGAGTGGAAGTATCTTCATCTTCCCATTAATTAAAACATTAATCCTAATGGGCTGTTTTTAATAAATGACCCCTTTTGTTTCCACCTAGAAATGAAATGTATTTTTACGGTACTTCTAGAATTTAAACACAACAAACATGCTGGTTCTATTAAATGAAACTTTAATGTTTTATGGAAATTGTTAGGTCTGCTCTGAAGGCTTAAAAAACTCAGAGGGTCCCTCACAGGTAATATTTTACACCTGTTTAAAACTCAATACGATCCACTTTTATGGTGTATCTTGGTCCTTTCCAGATGTCCTTACCTGCTTTACCCACTCCGCTATAGCACAGCTCACCCGCATTGCACGTCTGCTTGGTGGTCACACACAAATCCCAGAAACCTATATCACAGTTATAGCACTGCAGAGTGTGGGCTGGGAGAGAGAGAGGGAGAGAGAGGGAGAGAGAGAGAGGTTCAGGAAGGGGTTAAAAAACATGACATGACTCAATGAATTCAAATGATGACGCCACAAACAAAATGCAATCAGTTATTAATGTAATAAGCCACTTGAGGCTTTGTGTTACAGTGATTTTACTTCTGTTAAGGGGGCACTGGTAAATTACTAGTACTGGCAATTTTGAGACGGTCCCTAACACTTAAGTGGACATAGAAGCAGACGAACCCCCACGTTTCAATACCGGGTTTCAACCCCTTAAAGTCCCAGCCTTATTCCATACTAAGCCTTATTACTCAGTAACTACATGGACTTCAATGCAAACTAGTTGAGCTATTCTTAGGTTACACGGCACAAGACATGACATCGTTTAATGGTTAGTAATAATGCCATGTAGTTTGTTCACAGTAGGCAGTGGTTACCATGCAACAAAACAGTAGATTAAAGCTTTAAATGTGGATCAGCCAATCACATTTTAGTTCCTATGAACATTTCTCTGCTTCTTGTACTACAGCTGATGTATGTAGGTCAGTGTTAAATGCAGTTGCATGATATCTGACCATTTTACACTGTTATACCAGCACTGATGCAAAATATAATCAAAGGGGGTTGAACATCAGCCTTGAAAGGGGCAGTTTGTGGCCATGTTAAGTTGGTCTCAGTGAAACCACCCCCTTGGTCTAACAGCGCATTCCCGAGTTACGGGAAATCACAGCAGGAACTAAAGCGAAATCTGACTCTGTTGTGTCTTCTGTGCTGAAATGTGCCGTTTACACATATTGCTCCCAGCCAACTCTGCCACCTTTAAAATCCACACAGAAGAAGCAGATTCACTCTCTAAATGCCTCTCTCACATTCTTCTGCTGTCTTTCGCTACTACAGTCAGTCAACAACAGAGTAGAATGTGGAAAGGAATTGTGGTGAGCAGATATGAAATACTGCAGGGTTTGCTGGCCTAAATTCTCAGCATAACTAAGAAGGCTTTTATGAATTTAAGCACAAAGAACTGCCATTGAACTGAATGAACTGAATGAACTGAATACGCCACTTAGACCAGTAAACATCAGAATAATCAACATGCGCAGTCATAAATTACTTAGACATGTACATTAAGTGTACTGTATTCATGTGCAAATAAATGACATACTTGAATCCCATAAATTATGAGCACTATTTGTTAAGTATACACAAAGGAATTTTTTTTAAAGAATGGGGTGGTTCTTCAAAGCAGTGTTTCCCAACCCTGGTTGGCATAATTTAGGGGTTTTCCTGCTTGAACACACTTGATCCAACTAATTAGCTGACTAACAAGTCTTTCTTGATTTAAACATGGGTGTGTTAAACGCTACTGGAGCTGAACACACCCATATCTGCAACTGTAAAACTACACACACTGCAGATTGATACTGGATTAAAATCACTGACAATTATTACCGTCAGACTGTAAAACTACACACACTGCAGATTCATACTGGATTAAAATCGCTCCACAATTATTACTGTCAGACTGTAAAACTACACACTGCAGATTCATACTGGATTAAAACCACTCCACAATTATTACTGTCAGACTGTAAAACTACACACACTGCAGATTCATACTGGATTAAAATCGCTCCACAATTATTACTGTCAGACTGTAAAACTACACACACTGCAGATTCATACTGGATTAAAACCACTCCACAATTATTACTGTCAGACTGTAAAACTACACACACTGCAGATTCATACTGGATTAAAATCACTCCACAATTATTACTGTCAGACTGTAAAACTACACACTGCAGATTCATACTGGATTAAAACCACTCCACAATTATTACTGTCAGACTGTAAAACTACACACACTGCAGATTCATACTGGATTAAAATCGCTCCACAATTATTACTGTCAGACTGTAAAACTACACACACTGCAGATTCATACTGGATTAAAATCGCTCCACAATTATTACTGTCAGACTGTAAAACTACACACACTGCAGATTCATACTGGATTAAAATCGCTCCACAATTATTACAGTCAGACTGTAAAACTACACACTGCAGATTCATACTGGATTAAAATCGCTCCACAATTATTACCGTCAGACTGTAAAACTACACACACTGCAGATTCATACTGGATTAAAATCGCTCCACAATTATTACTGTCAGACTGTAAAACTACACACTGCAGATTCACACTGGATTAAAATCTTGTTGGATCTTGTCGGTTATCTCAACAAAACCTCACCAAAAAAATTGTTCCTTCTGTCACAGAAATTTGCATCTCATATTTCCTCAAGTGATTCCATTATTCTGTGAATAGTCTTTGTATAAAGACCTCAATTTCCACCACATCTGTATTGTATGGTCACTTTCCATTGACAGTAATTTCAACACATTTCCCTGTTCTTAGTTAAAGAACAGAAACCTATTGATTCAGAACATCCCTATTTTAAAGGCCAATGGACAGTCACTTCAGCAGCTGACCAGTAGCTTCTATTGTAAGTGTTTTTTGAGTCAATGTTTTTTTTATTAATTTACTAAGTACAGGACAATGTGTCAAAGTTATTGTCCTTGGTAATAAACTATGTGCTCCAGATGCATCTGGTGGACATCATTATGAAAACCGATGGAGAATTTCTTTATTCCTCTGAGTGCAAAATGACCAAACACCGTTTCACTTTAAAAATGTTCTGAATGAATGGTCACGTGGGCGAAAACCTGCAGGACAACGTACTGTCCCCTCCACACACCCCCATGTGTTCTCACATTCCTAAGAAGTTTCTAGAAACCTGCATAGCCAGTCAACTGTGTTACCAATCCAATGGTACCTAGAAAGAAAGATCTCAGTAATTTCAGTTGCTCTTTATGCAAATTGACTTACAAATCATTCAATTTGATTAATAATGGTACATCAGTAAGATATATGGTGATAGGTAATGAGTTTAACAAGACTTTTTACTGACAAACACCCCTTCATCCCCACCCAACCCCCCCCCTACCCCCTACCCCCGCCCCCCCCGCCCCACCCCAAATACATACACACACAAGCTTGTTTCGGTTGCACCCTTACACTGGATTTAAAAGTTTACAGTGATGCTGCTTTCAGACTACAATCATAAAGAAGCGCATATAATGACCAACATACAGAAATTTGAACCAACAAATGGCTTTTCCAATTAAGCTCAAATGTCTTTGAGGCACATCTAATGATGGAGTTTCATACTGTAGGTTCACTGCAGATTCATACTGGATTAAAATCGCTCCACAATTATTACTGTCAGACTGTAAAACTACACACACTGCAGATTCATACTGGATTAAAATCGCTCCACAATTATTACTGTCAGACTGTAAAACTACACACACTGCAGATTCATTTACAGGAGTCCTGCTTGGTTCTTCACAGACGTAGAGAGATAATTAGCTCGGAGCAGTTGTTGATTGTGTGGTACTTAACGCTGAGATGCTGAAGACATCATTAAGTTGTTTTTGAAAAAGTGACCACATCATTAAGAGACCAATTAGGAATATCAAAGTACAGGTGTGTTCCGAATAAAGCAGCAGAGATACAAAACATTTTTACAGGCCACATTTAATGTTTGATTTTTTTCCCTAATATCTAATATAATACCTGCTCTGTGGGGTCCTGATCATTGAAGAACAGGGTAAAAGGGGGCTAACAAAGTATGCAGAGAAACAGATGGACTACAGTCTGTAACTGTAGAACTACAAAGTGCTCCTATATGGTCAGTGGACAGAGTGTCACTACAAGTTTTAATGAAGTGGCTGGTCGGTGAGTGTATATATATATATATATATATATATATATATATATAGAGAGAGAGAGAGAGAGACAGAGAGAGAGTGAGAGAGAAGCGAAACACATTAATCTCTCATCCAAGCAGACTGAAAAACGTCCACTCAGGTCTTCGCAGTGGCCTAATCTGTTGGGACTGCAGAGCTGAGCACCTGGGCTTTTCAGGTGGATCCAGTTTCACATTTTCTTTTGAAAATCTTTACCAGGTAAACACCTGAGGGCCTTTCATAGCTGCCAGCCCCACTGGGGAAGCAATAGCAGTTTTGGGGCGGGGGTGGGGAGAGTCACCCCAGGGCAACTTGCATAAAGCATCTTGCTCTGAGGCACAATGGCAGAGCTGAGCTATGAAGCAGGAACCGGTTCTACTCAAGAGACTTTCAAACTGGGTCACTGTTCTCTTCCTATGAGACTTCAAACCAACATAGAGAAGCATTTTCGCACAATGACTGCAGAGCTTTAACATGTAATATATATTACAGCTCAACCTGATCTTTATCTGTGGTATCTGTACAGTATAGCTGATTTTCATGTCAGATAACTTGTTGGTGGACCTGGCCCTCCGAAAGAGTGGAGTGTTTAGGTGATTCTGACCTACTGCTCTATGTTGCACCTAAAATGTGTTAAAACTGAAAGAAGTAGCATCAGTAGAGTCAGGAGAGTAAAATACGGTGAGCATGCGCTGCTCTATAAAGTCCGAAATACTCTTTTAAAACTCAGAGCCGTCGGGTCGGGAGTTTTTCAGACCATGTCATACGTCTTTACATATTAACGTCACACACACAGCCTCAAAAAAGAAGGTCCAGCTCGATGTTCAGGTCTCAAATGCAAAATCAACGTTACATCAAAATCAACGACACAACCTTCCCCAATTTTAGACTGAGTTCTGTTTGAATTCTCTGTCAATGCGCTCACAATCATCAGATTAATCTGCTTGGAGAAGAGGGACAAAGCACAACCCACATTACTTATGTGCAATTACACATTTCCACCACAGAGGTCTCCAAATCCCCACATCTTACATGGTGTGGTTCTTAAGAAGTAAATCTTGTATATATTGTAGATATTGGCATCGGCCCACGGATGGCTGTGATGCTATGTGGCTGTGAGTCCAAGACAGCACAATTGTTCTCACTCTCTCTGGGTGGGTAGGATTGCCTCACTGTCTTCC